TTTTGGTTGAAATGATCAAGTGTCAAATAGGTACATGGTACATGTACAAGTACATGTATTGTATTATACATGTTCATGTTTACCATACATGTATATGCGCGTGTGTACATGTACATTGTACTTGTTATTCCACGGTCATAGATAGTGAATTTTAATTGGTCGCAAATTGATAATACAACATGCTACAAGCATGCATGTACATTTATCATTCATGTGTGAGGTCCCTGGTGATGTTGCCTGGCTGCAAAGAATGATGGATAACGGGGATCTTTCCCACAGTTGATTTGTCGGGTCTACTTCATTGTAATTGTGTAATCTTGGGTATGAGTGTGGATAGCCTCGGTTGTACTCAACAATTATTGTAGGTGTGCACTGTGTGGGGGACATGGAAGCACTGTGTCCATCCATATGTGCTGCACCTGCTATCTTCACTCTGACCGTGATGGAGACCTGCGTGTTATTAACCCTAACCCTACATAATACTACAAATTACTACTTGTAGTAAAATGTAGTAATCAGTGCTGCCACTTGTAAGAGGGCATGACTGCATTGTTCTCTGAAGCCATAAAATACAATAGAAAAGACAATGTACCATACAGTGCTGTGGCACTGTGAATGCATGGCTTTATTGTTCTCTGTACGAGTAACAATGGAAGTAACCTAGCCAGAAGTAGTAATTTGTAGCGCTAGGTCCTTCGGGCTCAGACTACTGCTTAGTATTTTGTAGTACTGCATATNACAATAGTCTGGAATGTGTATAAGGATTGGACATGTTTGGGGGGGTACCCCTCGGTCTCAGTGGTTAGGGCCAAACTTCTGTTCGTGCACCCAGCTATGCTCGTGGAACATGAGTATTCTCTAATCACTGTTTCTACTGCGATTGCCATTGCTGTTAATAAAATGCTCATGCCATTGTCTCTTTTCATCTGCTCTTGTTAATACTTTCCAACAGAAGTGGTGTAAATAATATCTTGAAACCCCAGTGCTTTTTAAATCCCAGGTTTCTCCAGTAATCCAGTTGGTTATAAATCCTAGATTTCTCCCTCCCTCTTATAAAAAACAAACCCAAACAAAAGCAGACGTCAATGAAGGATGTCACAGAAAATAATTTTCCCAGTAATTTAATATTTAACTTGCTGTTCAAGTGTTTCAATTTGTCAAGGTGTTTTAATAATCTTGCAATAAAATATGCATACATATTACATATGTACAGACTACATGTAAGATAGTTCCAGTGTAATCTATGACTATGATATAACAAAACAATTTTTTCCTCCTGTCAGGGGGTCCATGGGTTTTTTACACCGGGGGGGTGGAGGAAATGGCACCCCTCGAGTGCCATTTGCCCCCATCGGTGTACAAAACGCCATGGACCCCTACACCGCAGACAACAGTTGTTAAAAACCAACTCCAACGATGTTGATTTTTCTCATATTGAATCCTATTCAGAAGAATCAAGTCTAATAAAACTGGCACATATCAATACATGTATCTCCCTTGCAACACACGGTTTTGTGTTAATAAAACACAGTTTTTGTACCTGTTTTTCCTGGGAGTCCAGTTTGCAGCTGTAAAAATGGACGTGTCGTCACGACTCATTAGCATCCAATGAATATTGATTTCTGTGATATATTACCGTGGAGAGGAAATGCCACAGTGCGTGCGCTATATGTATGCATAGCTGCAGACGGCAGCACCAACTTGAAGAATGAGAGGGAAACTCGAAGAATTTCCATCCTGGTTCTTTTGCAGAATTTCTAGTACGTCCACCAAGATGCATGATTTGGGCATTATTGTAAGTCATGAAGAAAGGAGAACAAACTCTCGACCGAAAAGAGATAATGCGGCACAGTAGAACCTGCACACAGATCGATCCCTGACATGCGGTGCACGCACATGTAGCTCCATTTTCATGTACATGTACGTTCGTAGTGCAACCAGTCGTGCCATGGATACCAGTTTCAATGTTTTCTCCAGTATTACATCATACAAATTTTGTTTCTCCACAGTGCCACCAGCGGTCAGATTGTGGAAATTTTTCATTAACCCTAACAGTCTCGAATGCTACAAAGTACTACTTAGTAGTAAAATGTAGTACTCAGCCCTGTCGCTTGTAAGAGGACACAGCATTATTATTCTCTGAAGCCAAAAAGATACAATAGAGAAGACAATGTACCATACAGTGCTGTGGCACTATGAATGCATAGTTTCATTGTTCTCTGTACGAGTAACAATGGAATAAACCTAGCCAGAGATTGTAATTTGTAGCGCTAGGTCCTTCAGGCTCAGAGTGTTACTTAGTATTTTGTAGTACTGAGTACTCTAAGCCAAACAACGCCCGGTACTGTTAGGGTTAAACTCAAAGACAACGTTCAAAAGTTTCGGCAAAATTACAAAAAATACAGACGCAATACAGATATGATTTGGTAATGAAGATATGATTTATTAAACACTAAACGCAATAAAAGTTTATTTTCAAAACTTTTAAAACAGAGTTGGTCTTTAAATGTGACATGTGGTGCCACGAGTAAGAGATTTACATGTGTACGTATAAACTTGTAGGATAATCATGACAGCATTTTTACGAAATGATGTCACACTAAGCAGCACTGAGTGGCAATTATAATTTTCTGCATGAATAATTCCTGCTAAAATACTGGCCCAAGGCACCTTCCTATTTTACACGTATGTGGGTACAGTGAATCATGTCTAGCCTTGTGCCTCAGTGCCATAGGAAAGTGCTCATGTAAACTGCTCATGTAAACCAATTGTGGCATCATAGACCTACATGTAATGGAAGGTACATGTACTTGTCATAAAATGTTTAAATGCAAAAACAGATTTAAATGTACGAACCTGTCTTTCATCTTGTTAAAAAGATGACTCGAAACAGCCTCTTTGTGCACATACTGGTACATGTACATGTACATGTACATGTAGATGTTCATGTATGTACTGGAATTTGGACTGTCCATTCCAGTGTGAATTCAAAGTGAATTTTAATTGATCTGTGAAAAATATCAATAACTACGTAAACAGGTCTTCCCTAAAAGTTGGCTTTTATCTGCTTTTAGTTAATAGTTTCCAGGATGGCCAATATTGTGTACATACATGTTTATGTACATTAATTAATAGTTATCGCTCGAGCGCGAGTGGAACACAGAATGTAGTACATGTACATCTGTGTCCCGCATACATGTACAATGTACCATGAGACCAAAGGCCAAGTGGTGTATGGGACACAGACGCACTTCGTTAGTGCGAGCGCGATAATGAATTTATCTTCAAGCAAACATGACAAGCTGTAAAGATGTTGTAAGGGCCTATGTGTGCAAATGTACCATCTTTGAATTTACAGTAAATTTGGCAGTTGTGCATTTGTTTTAGCATAAAAATAGTGCATTGAGTGGAATTACCGGTAGAACAGTGCATTTTGCGGAATTTGACATGGACCATGGAATACAGTATGTCACACTGTTTGTTGCCATGGATCGACCAATCAGAATTGAGAATTCAAGTTTGCCTGAAGATACATGTACATGTAAGTACCAGTACCCTTCGAGTACTGTACACAACTTTAATAGGTGACACTGCAGTGATCTCAGCTTGCACATAGTACTGTACATCATGACCGAGACCTAGAAGCCCCTATCTCCATGCATACCGGTACATGTACATTACACTGTAGATGTACTGTACATGTACACATGGTACAGTACAGTGTATCATGGACATGCATTGGTATTCGTCCATCACTCCCCCACCACCATGCCCACTGTACATGCTGGAGTCACTTGCAGACTATTGTTGACACAGTGTTATGTTTATTTCCACTGACCACTCAGACCTCAATTACCAACAGGCATGATACTGTAGGTGAGATGTACTGATATGTATGTATGTGTCAGATGGACAGTTGTGGGTGGTATGGTTTGATGACCCCATAAGGTCACAACACATACTGTACCTGTCAATAACTGTTCAAGCTCAAAGACCCTTGAGATCACCATAGAGACAAATTAAGACAGCAGTTGGGGATCAGACTCATTTTGTGCGCATTTTCATGTACATATACTGAATGTGGGGAAAAATTAAATCGATGTACAGTAGTGGTATGTGTTCTTGTGCACAGATGTACATGTATTAGTTGTAACAAATTCTGTTATTGTAATTTTTGTCTACACACCAGCACAGTACTGTAACATTATGCAGTGAGTATTGACAGTCTACCCGGTATATCCACTGTATAATTGTACATGTACATACATGTACATGTACGTACATACATGTACTCTGTTCCGGGTACATGTACATAAACATTGTACAATTCATGTACTGTACATGGATAGTACATGTACATGTACATCGGTTCATGTAAGGTACATGTACCTGTACACGTAATGGATATGATAAAGTGATTTGCAGTAAGTACATGTATAATTTTGAATTCATAAATATAAAGACAATTTTTCTATTCAACAACATGCAACATGACAGTGTATTAACATTTGATATCAATGCTTACTGCGAGTTGATAATGCCTGCTGTGTAAAAACACAGTGGCACTTGGATACGATACAGTTTCATCCATTCCTATTGGTCAAGAGTCTGTGTGTGCCGTGGCACGCAGAACTCGCCACATGTGCACCAAGTCCATATAAGGACATTTTTCTGGACTACATGCACAAGAAATACACAATACCATAAAGTGGACAGGGGTTTCCCAAAAATGAAAGTGAAATTCTTGAACAAAACCTTGGAAATTTATCGTATATTGACTTCTTTTGACTCTCTGACTTCAACAGTACGTTATGAATGAGAATAAATGTGTGCTTTGTTGGTCTTAAAAATAACATTTAAGACCAGCTGAGGAGAATGAACGCTCACAATTGTGGCTCGGGCATTAGTTGTTTCCATTTTCCTAAGCTGTAGGTCTTAAATGCACGTTTGAAAGACCAACCAAGCACACATTTATTCCCTTAGTAAAGAGCTGGGATTACGGGTAGATGAAGCAATACATGTACCAGCATACCGCATGTGTAAATCCATCTTTGATGAACGTTGTGTATGCCACCATGAAGTTGTAATGAATGCAGTCAATTCTGGTAGCAGTCCTAATAAATTACGTGTATGCTACAGGTACCACCTGCACTGTTTATTGCAGATTATCTGCATATTGCCTCAGGAACCTACCCAACCTGTGCCTCTACACAAAATGCACAGTCTCTAAAGGCTCCTTATTGACATAACTCTGTAGGATTGTTTGTTTAGCAATGCCATGAAGTGATGATAAAGTTAGTTAAATATCTTGAGTTCAAGTGGATTTGCCCAATGTGCATACTGTGCTTTGTACATGCACATGTTTGTATCATCCCTGTCATATTCAATCATATAGCCTTCGGTGTCATTTGTAGACCAAGCTGTTTATTTGTGAAACCTGAGAGGTAGCAATACCGGTATGTGTACCGGGGGTGAAAAAATGAATGGTGATTTAGAAATTATTGTACAAAGTGCATGCATGGGCCTACATACAAGGGTCGCTTGCACCGTGTACCAGTGCATTCAAAGGGTACCACTGCTTTAAAAGCATTTTATACAACTTTGTAATTTATGTGCTAGTGTATCATGTTCATGTACAGTATATGTATACATGTACATGTGTACATGTACCGGTCATGGAGGTAGGAAAAGGTACATGGACATGTACAGTGTACACTCTACACAGTATGTGTACAGCACGCACCATGTATTGGTACTCGCACAATTGCAAAACAGTATACGTGTACATGTACATGGACCAGTAACTTGAAAGTTTACAGGGCAATCATGTGAATATCCCAAACCAAATAATTGCATACCGGTAGGTATCATGCAATCACTAGAATTATTGTTTTTTACAGTCGAACCTCATTAATAAGAGATCGTTTGTCATAACAGGAACCTTGCATTATCAGGAATGAAAACAATGAAGAGCAAAGGATTAGGTAATTTCCTTGTAATAAGCAGAGTCTCGTATTATAACAGTGCTCTTATTAACAAAGTTCAACTCTACAATATACATGTAATTTGAACAGGACAAAGGTATAACATGTATATTACATGTACATGTACCAGCAGGATTTATCTTGGTATGGCATGCAAAGGGTTCATGCTTGTATGCACAAATCCACATTTATGACAGTATTGAAGTGAATGAAAGAAAGGTCTTAGTGGGATTTTAATTTCCATTATTGCATTAGTTGGGCGGATACATGTACATGTGTACACATATTTTGCAAGTTGCTTCAAGGAATTCAAACCAAAATTGAATATTCTGTAAATTGAAAAGTCATGTGCACGTAAATTTTGTACATGTCATACTTGTATGTGCGTGGAAGAAAATTCTGTTTTCTGGTTGGATAAGAATGAAAGGTACAAATTTGTACAGTAGTATGTGAGATGACTTTTGTTAGCGTACAGTGCTCGTGTATTGTACCAGTAATTGTTCCTTTGTGCACATGTGTGTTCTATAATTTTATTATAATTTGTCTCAGATATTCGGGTTCCATGTTACTGGTACATGTAGGTGCTGTTGGACAGTCAGGGACACCACATGTACATGTACCGGTACATACTATTCGTTTGTACATGTACATGTACATTTACATGTACATGTAGTTTGTGTTGTATTGGGGTTGGATGACAGTTTTCAGGAAGAAGGGTACCTGGTACATGTACATGTATGGTGAGTAATTCTAGACATGTACATTGTACATGTACATGCCATCCTGGGTCAGCTACATGTACATGTACAGGTGTTCATTTCTCATTTCCTACCCAGATTGCCCCCTTCTTTTGTTCTTTTGTCACATGTATGTGTATCTACCGGGTATCTATTTTGAGTACTCAATCAAATATTGTCTTGCCAGAAATACTGAACGACAATATACATGTACATGTACATTTACAGGTAGTTTTGAGTTATAATCACATGGGACCACTCCACATTAAGAAGAGAAGTGTACAATATATTGAACATGTGCCCTACCATGTACTCAAATGCATGTAGAGAAAAAAATGTACAAGCTGATTGTATCAGGTATTTCTGTAACAGCAAAGGTAAGGAGATAATCAAGGTTTTGTTGAATTGACATCACTGACTACATTGAAAAGTGCAAAGTCCAACAACTTGGCATACCAGCACGATGAAACTATACCAGTACCACTGTGCTACGCAGTCTTTGTGTACACAGTGACTCATACTCACTCCATTGATCATGGATTTGACAATGCTCTTGGACTGAAATTAGTATTTAAAGAGCCTATTCATTCAGAAATATTGGTATTACATGTAATTGAGCACTGAATCCATATGACTAACCTTTGTATTGAAGTTACTCAGACATGCATACAGTAGTCAGTTTTGTGAACGGTACATTGCACTTGCACTGTACTGTTATTATTCACCGTTTTCCTGCATCGTTGTGATTAACTTAGCAACTTCTCTGCTGATGTTTTGTGTTTGCCAGAATTATATTTTTTGAAGCAATGTTACAATTGCTTTTTACACTTACATGTAACAAACGTTTTGCAGTTGAAATTAGAGATCACACACTACATGTACGGTACGTACGTACAGGTACACGTACCAGTATGTGTTTGCAGATAAGTACATGTACATTTTCTCAAGAGGTTGAAAAATGAATATATGGAACTGTATACCTCTTTACATTTCATGTCCATGTACAATGGACATCGTTCATTGACCGGTTCAAGTGTACTCGTATTGGTCACATGTACATGTACAACTTGGTACTCGTATTGTTCACATGTACATGTACAACTTGGTACTCGTATTGTTCACATGTACATGTACAACTTGGTACTCGTATTGTTCACATGTACATGTACAACTTGGTACATTTACATGTATTGTTCACATGTACATGTACAACTTGGTACTTGTATTGTTCATATGTACATGTACAACTTGGTACTCGTATTGTTCACATGTACATGTACAACTTGGTACTGTACAAGTACCCCAGGGTTTTCCCTCAGTGGTCACCTGCTAACCAAATGGGAGTGAAAGCAGTTACACGGGTGAGTCAAAACACTTCCCTCAGTCGTCCGGCGGGCGAGCTAATATATGGCATGTTCCTCAAAATATGGACCATTAGATAATGTTCAACTTTGGGGGTTCATCTTTCCTGAAGTGAACAGTAGTGAATTAATTTCCAATGTTTGATGTAATGAGGGAAGTCATGGCTGATATCTGGAACTATGATGACCATGTCAAACTTTCAACTTAATTGGAGTTAATTAATTAAAGTCTTGAATGTCAGCAATTTTGAGGGACGTGAACTCCCTGTTAAAATCGGAGCAAACAGAATTTACTGAGGAGTGATAATCCCTGCGGGTTATTTTACACAGATTTATATGTGGTGAAAGGTGATAATATTTACACATATTAAAACCATAATCACAAAATTAAAAAGTACTTGTCACAATTAATAAGGTCCCAAAGTCGGCAGTCACGAATGTCATTTGATTCTGTCATTAGTGTAAAAAAAATCGACTGCAAAAAAAGTTAGTAAAATCCATATCGATGTACATGTACAACACTAGCTTTAAAAAAGAGTCCAAAAAAGCACCGCCAAACCATCATCCTTTTACAACTGGACCGATCACATTTTCTTCAAGTATGTTCCCGAAAACCACAGTCCAAAATACCGATCGTGGTGATTTTGCGGCTTCCATCAATCTCTTGCGGTGATGTTAGAGAAACATTTCGCTGCATCGTGGCCTGTTTGACCTATGACATCAACCCAGATAGTGCGCCCTCTTTTTTATTCGATATTCATGAACCCCTCCACGGAATGGCAACGCTCCGTGATTTTTCTCTTCTGAACAATTTTTCTCAAAAGAAAATCCGTCATTCTGAATACCATTTGCAAATAAAAAACCTTTGAGACATAAAATACGATTCATGATGAAAATCGAATGCTCAGAGTTGTTAATTTTAATTTTATTTTCAGCGGGGTTATCTCCAAAATAACCGGCAAAATGAAAATC